TTTGATATACTATTCAAGAAACAGACTAACTTGATAAGCTGGTACAAGGCTTTCCTGGGCCCAAGTCTTTAGCTGTTGGGAGAAGAACGGCACTGTCAGCCTTCTGCACGGGCATTGATTGGTCATGGGATGATTTAAAGGCTGGCGGCCAGGCAGGACACCTTGACTCAAACTGTTACCCTCACTGCCAGGCTTGGTGCCCAAAATTGTTCTGTTAGACATTCCTTAGGGTCTATAATGTTATTGCAGTTTTTAGGATGCTCATTTTAAAACAGCCCTGAGTTCTATTAACTCCACCTTTAAAGCATAGCTTGAAACTCTAAACTTGTCTCGATTTCCACTGTTACCACCCTAGTCCAATCACCACTACCAACTCTTGCCTCAACTATAGAAATAGACTCCTAACTAGTCTCCCTTTTTCTCCCCTTTCCACAAGCCATTCACCACACAAGAGTCAAGGTATAACTCAAATAAGTCCCCATGGAAAGGCTTCCAATAGCTCCCTATTGCACTTTATCGTGGGCTACAAATCCCCTTAGAAGATCCGGCCCCACCTATCTCTCTGGTTTCATCTTCTATCACTCTGCCCTCACTCGCTCTGCTCCCAACTACACTGCCCTTTCTCCTACTCAAATGTGATGGCAAGCTCCTCTTGCTCCGTGACATTCAGGCCTTCCCTATCTAATGCTGTGCCTCCCATATGCATTCCCAGTTGCTCTCTTCTCACAATATCCTATTTTACTTCCCTATAGTACATATCACTGTTTAAAATAATCATATTTGTTCACTTATATTCTGTCCCCACAACACACGTGCACATGCTCTAGAATGTGAGCCATATGAGAGTGGAAACGTTGCACATCTTGTTCACTGTTAAATCTCCAGGGTCCAGAACAGTGCCTGGCACACAGCAGGAGCTCAGACAGTACTTGTTGGATGAGTACGGGTATCACCCAGTTTGGTGGCCCTTTCTTGGTCTTCAGATTGACCTTTATGACTTAATTGACACTCCCCCTCCTTAAATAGCTCCTCTCCTTTGGCCTAAGTGACACTGTATTATACCAATTCCAGTACCTTTCCAACCACAGGCTCCTCCCCTCCTTCTACTGCTACCCCTTGAAATGTATTCTTCCTCAGGGTTCTTTCTTGGCCTTCTTTTCTCTCTGCACTCTCCCTTAGAGTCTCATCCATTCTCATTGTTTCAATTATCACCTCTGAAGAGAGTCCCTGAATTCATATCTGCCCCCATTGCTCTCTATCTACATTTATTGAGAGAGATTCTAATTGAACATGCCCATTATTAAAATACCTTCTCATGCCCTATAATACACCCTTCAAATTGACAGACTTCCCAATCTCTGTAGAATGATTACATCATTTTCCTAGCCATATTAGATGCCTCCTTCTCCGTCTCTCATCCAGCCCCCATATCCAATAAGTAAACAAACTCTCTCCTTTATTCCTTTGCAGAATCTCAAATTCCATCCCACACTCTCCAAGCCTTTTGCCATTACCCTATTGATGGGTCTGAACTTAAATAGGCTCATATTCTACTTCATGGAAAATCAGAACAGGAGGAGAGCTACAAGACCATCTAGGTCAACCCCCATACTTTACAGATAAGGAAGAGAAGGCCAGCCTGATTAACTGCTACAAAGGGTTCCTGGACCCAATTCCAATGTGTGTCTTGGAGGCTTCCCCACACCAACAAGCAGTTTTCAGATGCCAGCAGAGTTTCTGAGACTTCAGCTCAATTCTGACACTATCTACCCGGATATAGAATTAGATTCCACAGGTAAAGGGCTCAGTCCCACAAGACCACCCTCCACTTCAGATGCCAGTCGCAAGCCCAGGTTGTTACCTCTTCTTCTGACCAACTAGCTACCACCTTGAGGTTCCAACAACACCCTCCAACTCAGGATGCCAATTACCAGATTGTTACCTGCACTTCTGACCAACTGGCTACAAATCAGGTTCCCACGACCCCCTGCTTGGGCTCAATTAATTTGCTAGAATGGCTCACAGAACTCAAGAAAACCCATTTACTCACTAGGTTACCAATTTATTACATAGGATATTAAAGGATAACAAATCAACAGCCAGATGAAGAGATACATAGGGAGAAGTCCCAAACAAAGGAGCTTCTGCCCTTGTGGAGCTTGGGGCCCGGCACAGTGACACCTGGAAGTGTTCTGGTTCCCCAACATGGAAGCTCTCCAAAAAAGGGCTGAAAACTGTCCTTTCAGGTTTTTATGGAGGCTTCATTACATAGTCATGATTGACTAAGTCATTGGCCATTGGCAATTGATTCAACCTCAAGCCCCCTTCCCCTCCCCAGAAATCAGGGGGTAGGACTGAAATTCAGATCCAATCCTCTGATCACAGGCTGCTTCTCCTGGCAACCAGCCCCCCCTTGGATGGGGTCCAAAATTGACCTTCATTAACATAAACAAGACACCCATTTCACTCAAAAGGCCCTGAGGCCTTTTCAGGAACTGAGGACAAGAGACCAAATATTTTAACAAAAGATGCTATGGAAATTATCAGGAAATTCCAAGGGTTTTGGGAGCTGTGAGCCAGGAATGGATTCCTTATGCTCAGAAAATTCCAAGGGTTTTGGGAGCTGTGAGCCAGGAATGGATGAAGATCAAATATATCTGAATGACCAAATATATATTTCTTATAAATCACAGTATCGCAACTACCTTGGCTACCATGGCCCTAGATGATGAGTGCTGACCATAGTGCCAGAACTAGAGCTCAGTCTCCAGGGTGGCCCTCTCTCTCTAATCTGTGGGAAATGTGGCCTGTTAATGCCACAAGGAGAAATGAAGAGGTGAGAAGATCCTGAAAGAAGAGTGATACCGGCTCAAGACAAGGTTGACATAAGGGAAGCCATATTGTAGAAAAGAAAAACTCTATTGTAACTTTGAATGACCTCTGACAAACTAACCCAGCTGGATATGCACCCTCCAGGAGATCTAACTGCTCTGTAGATTTTACAACCCCTGCTTGTGCATGTACCTCCCAGCTGTGATAAGATGATAACTGCTTTTTTGAGTTCCTTAGGAACGTGATGACCCCCAAACAGAGACTCTATGCTGATAGCCATCATCAGTGAAAACTGAAAGATCTGGTGTGGCATTCCCAGTCTGTAACACCAGAAGGTCAACATTCCTAACCCCCTCCCCAATAACACAATGGCCTATATAACCACTGTAAGATTTCATACCTCCTTAAGATGGTTCTTTTGGACATGAGTCGGCCATCTTCCCTCTTGCTAGCAAGCTGTAATAATGAAGTCCTTTTCCTCCTACAACTTTGTCTCTTGACTATTGGCATGTCTTGCAGCAAGCAGAAGGCCCCACATTGGGCAGTAACAAGAGCACCAAAAGAGAAGATGATAAAGGGCACTGAAGACACACACTTTGTTGACATCCCAATTTCGCTTCATGCTGGCCCTCATATCTTGAATGAGTCCTTGAAGCCAATAATGAGAGCATTCTCATTCCTCATGTGTATATGCAGTTGTCACTATTGGTCTGCCTCCTGGGGATGCCAGATATTGTCAATGTACTGATTTGATTTCACCTACATAGTGCAAATAAACTTTTCATTGAATTATAAGTTCAGGAACCATATACCATTGTGACATTAAATAGTCAAGTCAGGCTCATCTCTTTCTTTAAGGAAAGCCGTATTCTAAATCCTAGACATGATTAAGGGGAAAAATAAACTCAAAATTCCTCAATAAAATAACAGCAGACTTCTTTCTAAAGTCTATTTCAAAGAATTTCCGTCCTGTTTGGGATAACGTAATCATCCAGACCCTCTCAAAGTCTGTGCTGGGTAGGATGAAGTATGGTTGGCTATCAACACTGCTTTCCTCTACAGCCAGTAATGCCAGCAGAGAGAATTTATCACTCTGGCATTGTAGAGAAAGTAGTCTTGAGTGCACAGAAAACCAGCTGTTCTTTTCCTTGACTCTAAGACCTTGATATTCAAATTATAAGTGATTAAAGATACTTCCTGAATAGTTTAGAGCTTCACAGGAAAGACAAATTTCATTCAAGTTTGCTGTGAGAATCTTCCTTGTGGAGCCATTCATGTTTTTCCTTCTGGTTATTTCAATCGAGATACAATACTCAGGAAATTAAGGTGGCCCCGTCCCAGGGACCAAATCCATGGGCTTCTCCTAACATTCTTAAACCAGATAAGTAAGATTAAAATGAGCATCAAGAACAGCCTTGAAATAGAACATAAATGTTTTTAAAATGAGCAGATTGCATTCAGAGAAGGATAGAGATAATATTGAAGTGTGGTTCAGGATGGGGTGTGGGGCTGTTGGAGGACAGTCTCATCCCCAGTATCTTGGTGATTGCAGAGGTTTAAGAGCTCCCAGTTTATCAGTGAGGCTAAGGTGTTCTTTTAACACAAACTGAGAGCTGCCTCCTGCTGCATCAGAAGGGGTGTCTGCTTTGCCAGATAACAAACATGGGTTAAGACCAGGGTCGGTAACATAGCCACAGGCTGTACCAGAAACAAATGGATAAAAGCCCCAGACTCATTAACAACATATTATACCTCTACTTACCATCCTTCTTCCATGCAGTTAGCATAGGCCAGGCTAACTGAGGCAACCAACACATGCTGCCAGTTACCTCCACAGCCTCTCAGAAGTCAAGAGACTTTGAGGTTCTCAGTATATGTAGAAATGAAGAAATGCCTAAACAGGGTTACAAAAATTTTGGTATATTTTTAATATTCGCATTTAACAAATTGCTGATTTTAAAGCACACCAAAAAAAAAAAAAAAAACGACCCATAGAAATGGTAATTACAGGATTTATGAAACTATTAAATCCTAGTGCACTATGGATGGTGTGGTCCAGATAATGGGATGGAAGTTTAAAGTGGTCTGATGGGTATCATCTTCTTTCAGTCCTCTCAGTGTCACTCCAAACATAATATTCATGTTTACACTTGAGACCCTTCATGACTGGAAAGCCCAGGCCAGATGGCTTCCTCTGTCCCCCTGTGAGGGATATTTTTTACCTCTCCCAAATGTTCCTAATTGGAAATCTTTCCTTAACCATAAGTCTATCACACCACCTGCTCCAACTTACCATGATATTATAAAGGAGGCAAAAAAACAATTTGCGAAGATCCAAAAGGACTTTAGGATGTAAGTTGACGCCATACTATTGTTAAATATAAAATCATAGACTCTTTTAGAGCTGGAAGTGATTGTAAAAATTATCGACACTAAGCTCCTTTGATGAGGAGAGTCGCTTCTGAGCATCTTATAGACTTGAAGATTCCCTTCAGGTAAGTGTCAAGGAGGTATGTGGTAACCGTGGAGCCATGGCAAGTGTCAGGGGTTGAAGGAAGGAAGAAAGCTTTGCTGTGGTGTGGTTGGGGGATGCACCCCAACATGGAGAGGCCAGGAGAGAGCTCCAGGGACTAGAGATTGGAGTATTGTCCGTTTACCAAGATGAGCCCTGGAAGAAGCACAGAAAGGTTGTCTGCAGTAGAAGGAGCTCCCTGGAGCTGGGCTGGTATTGAGGAAAGCAAGGCAGGGAAGTCTTTTCTGAAATGTTTTCTTGGGGAAATATTTTCAGCTTTTTGTGCTTATTTAGAATGATTACTCGTGGCCAGTCATGGTATTCTTATGTGCCAGAAAGCTAGAAATGGCCTAATGAGAGGATATCTGTCAATTCTTATGATAACAAATTGGCCGAGTCCAGTTCTTCTGTCCTTGATATCAAGGTTACTGCCTCGAGGCTTTATTGCTTTAAAGGTATGAAAGGATGGGCATCGTCCCCTTCGGGTATCTGATGCTTTTTAGGAAACACATCAAAGAGGGGTAAACGGAAGAGTGGCCAACTAGGTCCTATCCAGCAGGCAGAGCAGAAGTCTGAGCCTCTGCTTTCCAGGGTCCCCTTCTCCTCCCACCCACCCACTTTTCACCAATGCAAGAGTGCGTGCGTGCGCACACACACACAGAGCCCTTAGATTTCCTGTGCTCAGTGGGAAGATCAGGAATGGACACCTTGTAAGAGGGGCCCTGTGGAAGCAGCGAGGTGGAGTCCAGGCCATCCTCAGGTGTCAAAAATGATGCCTTTGGCACGTGTTTATAGGAGGAGATGTGCTGGGGGATTCCTCACACCAGTAGTGCAGAGGGAGGGGACACTGAAGAATTGGTTTGTAAAGGACTTTCACTGACATGGAAGTCAGCAAGTTGTTGATTTATTCTTTCCCAATTAGAAATGCCTGCTTTGTTTTAAAATTTAACTCCAAACTTGGATTTTATAGGGAAAAGCACAGAATTAATGAAGAAATAAAACTCCTAAGACAGCAGCAGGAAAGAATTGACAAGGAGCTTGATAGGTTTGTTTCTTATTCAACTTTGTAGAGCTTAAGACATTTTAATTCAACAAATGTGTTGCATAAAACCACAATGGGTTTATTATGTAAAAATACATCAACTCGAATATCTGCAAAGACGTGTTCTACTCAACAGTCCATCTGGAGGAACACTTCAACCTCCTTTATCCACATAATCACCTCTGCTAATTTAATTAGTTGTTAAACATTATCATCATCTTCTTTTATTCCACCAGATAGAGGTCTTAAGCTCAAGCCCTTTTAAAAATAAACCCATCACCATGCCCTGCCCTAGGGAAGATGTTAACTAGAAAAACAACCTATTCCGCTGGTCTCTCTTGGGCTAGTTCTTTGTCTTCCTTCTGCCCTGCTGCTTCCCCTACATATACAAGCATTGTTTCCCACTGAAGAAAGGAAAATTGGGCTCATTTAATTTGTTTTTTGTATAAATTAGAGTGTAGAAAGGAAAACTATGAAGTGTTGAGACTAACCCACTTCTAGCACAGCCACACGCGCAAGTTTAAGTATCAGATGAGCACAGCCCTTCACACAAGCCCCCGTGGGAGACCACAGCTTTGGGCCAGCCATGCTGCCATACTCCTAATTACTATTTTGGAACTTATAAAGCTAGTCTCCTGTCACATGAGAAAATCTAACCCATTACTTTAGAATCTTACCTCACTTTTCACCAAAAATGTATCACCCAGCTTTCCCCATCGCAACACCTAAATTGTAAGGTCTGATTCCAGGTGACTTTTACAAGTTCCCCGAAATCAACTCTACAAAGGACAGAATTTCTCACCGCTGAGGATATGCAAAAGAATGTAGAATGATTTTCAGAGCAACTCACAAGAAGCACTCCAATATGTTTTATGCAAAGGCACATTGTTGGAGAAAGTGAAGGGAAAATCCTCATTTGGATATATAAATCCCATGTGCCTGTTAAATTTATAGGCACAGTGTATAAGTTTCTATCTGTAATCTTTTAAAAAGAGATACTCATGGAGAGGAAAGGCGATCAGAAAGATGGGCGATTAGGTAGTAGTGATGGTTGCAAAGCTTTGTGAATATACTAAAAACCACTTAATTGTACACTTTAAAAGGGTGAATTTCATGGCATGTGACATAATAAATCTAAAGAAAAGAAAGAAGGGGACTGTGAATTAAAAGGATGAGTTGGAAGATAGGTTGATTTTAACAAAGTGAGATGAACCATAGTCTCAGAATGACCTGCGAATCAAGGAGGTTCTATGAGGGTGTGACCGAGAAAGGGCACCAGGGCTATTTTAGAGTGTGTTTAAATAGGACTGTGAGGAAGAGACCCCAACTGGAAGAGCCAGATTTGAGAAAAGCAGGGAAGGACAGACCCGGAGGGTAATAAGAAGTGAGGAGAAAAGCCAGTTTGAGGAGAGAAAGTCAGCAGAGATAAAGTAGAGATGAGTGAGGGGACATTTGTCAGTCACAGAGCACGAATGCAAGGGACCTCCAAGATGTAGCACTTCTGTGCCCTCAGGGGTACCAGAGACTAAATGCTAAAGAAAGTCAGCGTAGGCCTTGCCAGGGGCTGGCTAATCCACACTTTATGCTTCAGCAAAGTGGATTTGGAATTTTCAGAAAATTTTACTTCCTACAAATTTCATGGAAGAAAAATAATGTTAAAATTTTCACTTGAAAATTGCCAGTGAAATTAATAGGCTTGTCCCCTTTCTCGTTTTTCTTTCTCTCGTCTGTGTTTCTTTTGCTAATGTTTCTCCCTTGTTCCAAGTTCCTATCCTTCCTACCCAGCATCCCTCTTCTCCCCTCATCAGTAGATCTCTGGAAAGGGGCCGGCTGCCTCCTGAATTCAACTATCCAACTCCTTCATAAATATCTCTTGAATGAGCAATTGGTGACAGAAATCAGGGTTCCTGGGTTCCTGCCCTCAATGTGCTTACGAAAGTCTAGTAAGCACCCGCCCCCTTTAGCCTTTTCCATTTCTCTCTTTCTCCCCCAGCTCTTTCCCCTGCCAGTCCCTTTACATTTCTCACTCCATTGACATTCCTTAAAGCCACGCTGGAGCCTGGGGAGTGGAATCAGTTAAGGGTAAACTGTATGAACCATCTCGCTAAAGAGGATGCCTCACTGCGGGGGTGCACTGTCACGAGGGGCTTGGAACTGAGGGCTCCAGTCACACTGCTTCGGTTCGAGTCCTCTATTACTTGCTAGCTGCATGACTGTGGGCAGGTTGCTTAACCTATCCGAGCCTGTTTCCTCATTTATAATATAGGATAATAGTTGTACCTACTTCATAAGATTGTTGTAAGGATAATTGAATTAATAAATGTAAAGTGCTGGCAAATGCCCAGCGTATTCAACTCTTTGTAAATTTTGGCCCTGTGTTGATGTCAGTATAAAAACAACTAGTTTAGTTATGAATTTTCTCTATTTCATGCTTAGACTCCAAGCAAAAGCTACCAAGAAACCTTACGAAGTTAAGGATGACTTTGAGAAGTTCCTACATAAACTGGTATGTTTCTTTTTTGAAAATAATTGAGGATTCTCTCACTGGCTTCTCTTATATAGACTGGACAATATTTAATAAGCAATATATGGTCTCACATCCAAGTTACAGTGGCAGGATAGCGTACATTCTTGTTATTTAATCATCCACATGCACATTTAGGACAATCTCTGTTTTACATATTGTGACCACCTCGTGCCCACTCATCCCCATCCCTTGCTACAACTGAAAACCTCCAAATGCAATCAGAATTTCAAACTAATAGAAGATTATTGGTGTTTTATTTTCCATTAATAATACAACAAAAATATATTGGATTCCAACGACTGTGTTAGATGAATGATCCCTGCCTTCAATTAATGGAAACACAAGACAGAAATGATAAGACTCTAAACAGGACTCAAGTGTGAGAAAGAAAAGCAAAGAGACTGCTCCATTTTTCCAGTTTTTTTCTTTTTGTCCCCTCCTCTTCTGCTCCTCCTTAACTTATGGGCAGTCCTGTATATCTGAAAGGCCTTCTTCCCTTCCAACAGGCTAGAACATGTGGAGAATAGTGTACAGTAAATCTGGAGGTTGGACAATCTGAGGTCAGGAATAGGAGAAAGCTTTTTATTGTCAGCATGTCAGCCTTCCACTCAAAAATCTAGAGCAATCCTCATTGGCTGCTGATGAAATGCCAAAAACAGAGATCAATCTAATCAAATTCCTATACGAGCCAGAAAGGTGATAGCAAGGAGTAAAACACCTGGGTATTTAATATTAAACAAATAGGACTATTCGTTACTTCTACAAAAAAAAAATTCTCCCATTTTTCTTGGTCTCTTTTTCTTACTATTTATAGAGATATGGACACAGAGAAATATTTATTCCATATAAGAAAACAAGTGCAAGTGTGCTGGCAAAGGGCAAATGACAGCTGGTAAATGGTAAATGGCCCGAGTGTCAGGGAAACTACACGGAGCTGCAGAGACAGCAGCACCCTGGACAGTCCATGCCTCCTCTAAACCAGGCAGCGCCTCCCTCATCCCCAGGTCCTTGTTGCCCTGCAGGAACGGAGGCCAGAGTGTTATCAGATCTGCCACCATCAGTAATCCAGATTCTTCTGTAAAATCTCCTGATTTGGACCCCAAGTTTTTAAACACTGTGAGGACCAAACTAAATATATCTGCAGACCTATGAGCTGCTGGTTTGCAACCCGTGGTTTAAATGCTGCCTGGCTTTAGAGCTCTTCAAAAGCTGTCTCCAGCCAGTATAGCCAATCTTATTCTCCAGTATATCCCAAGGCACAGCCTTCACTCCCACTGAGCCTTCTGAACATACCCATTTACTCATACTCATATACTTTGCTCATCTGGAATCCTACTCCCCAGCTTCCAAATTCTACTTATCCTTCAGGGCCCCCTGCTCAAATTCCATCGTCTGCATGAAGCTTGTTCCAGTGGCCCTAGCTCCATCCTTTCCAGTTTGATCTCTCTCATAATTTCTAGTTTAACACTTGGTGATGGTTTGATTGAAAAATAGTTTTTTCTTCAAGTCAGATATCAAGACAAATATGGACTGCACACTGGAAATTTTTAGTCACCTGTTGCAAAAAAAGAATCTCACAGTAAAAAATTTAAATAGAATAGGAAAGCCATGGAAGGGCCATTTTTTACAGTGATCCAGGTATCTTTAAAAAATTATATACCGGCTACAAATCTTCTGTGGAAAATGGCAGGTATTAAAAAACAAAAATTATAATTTTAAATCAATTCAGAGTTTGGATTATTGGGTTTAGAAAACTCAAAATTCTTTCAACAAATTTGACTTAAGCTTTGTCAAGTGTTTACTTTTCTGCTATGAATGAAAATGCACCAGAAGTTTTAGAATAGAATAATGGACTTCCTAGTACTTTATATATAACAGTTGTCCTTTGAGAAATATTACAAGCAGCTTTGCCTGAAACTCTCTGGAACTGAGATTCAAGATGATGATGTCCAATCTTTGAGTTGCACATTAATGAGCAAAAACAATCACAGAATCATAGAAAATTGTGATAATTTTCAGGATAATTCATGCCATAAGACCACTGCTGTCTCAATTATCTGATTATATCAGTCAAATGCTTTTGGTCTAAATGTTCATATAATTCAGGAAGGCCCTTCTGTAGTCTATCCATGAGAGAAAGCCATTCATTTACCATCACTGCATGGCCAAACATTTCTGCCGGCTTTTGATAAATGCATATAGGCACCCACCAACACCACTACCCAATCCCAGAACCCCCTCTAAGCCTTTTCATACTCTTACCCACATACCTGCACACCTGCACTACACTGGTCCACATATACAAACAAGCCTTGCTAGACAGACAATAAAGGGACGCAGGCATGGGTGAGGTTTCCCAAAACAGTAAGCATGCCTCTTGGATTAGAGAGCATTGAGAAAAGGAAGGGTAGGGTGGGAAGAAAGTAAATTCCCCGAACAAATTGAATTATCTGAATTATCATCCAGATAATTCTCTATTTCAATGTGAATAGAGATTAAAAACTTTAAGTGTCTTTCATCTAAGTTTCTCTATTGAGAGAAGCTCAGGACTGAAAGAACTGAAAGTGATTGATTATGTGATATCACATGGTTAAAAAAAAAATTAAATGACCCTGGGATTTTCTTCCTAAATCCATCTTTTTATACACCCCCTCCCCCATTAAGTGTTCCTTCCCATCTTGATAATTGGGGGAATCTCACATTTAAGTATATGATGTCCAGGAAAATCTGTGAATCCTTAATAATATATTATTTTAATAGCGTTCTGAAGCTCAAACTGAGAGAGAATTTCTGGCATCACTATCATCATCATCGTCAACAACAGAAAACTACAACTTTGAGGAAGAAGGTCAAGAAAAACCAGAAATCAACTGTATTTAAGAACACTGCTTACAATTTGATTGTATCAGTATGTTTAATTCAAGTCCAATCCATGAAGTCAGTATTGAGTGTCTTTTACCATTCATCTTTAAAAATCTTGAAATCAATAAATCTCAGTAAATCATCCTTAAGATATCTGTCCAAGCATAATTTTGGCTGTCATTGGTAGAAAACAGATTTTAAGATGGAAAAATAATCATTTTGAACCAGAGAGGGCTTTTAACTCTTTCTTTGGAAATACGTGATAATAGCAACTGTTCATCATAACACAAAACAGAAAGAAGATTAATTTACTGTGGCATAAGAAGTCCTGCCAGTTCCTAAATGCCCTAAATAGTTTCTCTGAGATGTCTTACATTGTTTAGGCCTCAAGGAAAACCAAAGCCCCACCTCCAGGTTTGGTAGCAAACAAACTCTGCTTCTCCGGCGCTAAGCTCCGGTCGCTCCTCTGGTAATAAGCTTCGTGCACGTTTGCTAGGAAGCTGGGCAGCTGGTCTGCAGGTACAATCGATACTGTGCAGCCTCCCCATCCTGCTCCAGTAAGTCGTGACCCTTGAGCCCCAAACTTCCTAAAACAATGAGAAAAATCAAAATTAGAACCTGCAAATGAAAAGGAGAGTGATTTGCCTGGTCCTTATAGAACACACAGCCTACCCAAATTCTAATAAGAGAATATGTGTTTCTTTTCAGTTTGGGGGTTTTTTTTGGTGTTGTCAAACATTTTAGGACGTTAAGAAATTTATATGGTTTCAGAAGGTGATTTGAAATCTAATTGTATTGAAAACTAGCCCCTGGTTTTGGCTCTAAGTAGTAAAAGTTAGCAGTACTCCTGCTTCATGAGGGCTGACAATAACTCACTGCAGTGTTGATTCCATAAAGTCAGCACTTGAAGAGTTGTGTAGCAAGCCTACAGGTCATCAGGAAGAGGGAGTAAAAGGAAAACAGGCAGGGCACATGATCAACATTATGAATCAGAAGGTCGCTCCAAATGGGGGCAAATCAGAATTTAAAGTGCACAGTCTTATAGAGGCGAGGGCTTCCTCTGGTGGCTATTTAAGCTGGGTTCTCAAGGCATGGCTATTTCACACGAAAGAATCAGTCTCCATGACAGATAGTCTAGATTTATGGTGAATAAATTTATCAACAAAGAACACATTATTAAACCCTAGGTCAGTTTGTCCATTTAATCGCTGCTGGGAAATTAGGCAGACCTTTCCACAAAGAGGATGGTGGCTTCTACAGATTCTTCTCTGCACCTTCGGGAGCTGGTCCGACAACTGGACTCAGAATTTACTATCAGACAACCGTGTCTGATTGGGCTGGAAATTACTATATAAACCACCACACAGCAAAAGCGAATTTTAGTCACCATCAACCAGACAGTTCCAAACCAAAGATTTGTGCCAAAGTGACAGGCCCTTACAAAGTACAAGGTTCACTCATCTTTAAAAGATGCAATTTATCCTGACAATAAAAGTTAACATGTATTTCCAATTCTTCCTAATGAAATTTACTCCAAATTCATAGCAGATTAAAAACTCCATAATTAATTTAGCACAATTTTGTCCCTTTTTTCCATCTAAATGAGCTACTTTACTTCCTGGAAAATATCAATAGAATATTACCCCTACTCTAGGACATCAGAATTATTGCACACCAGTAATTCATTTTCCCCCTAATGATTTTCTCAATTGATTTCCTTTCATCATCTGTTTTATTCATTAAAATATGCTTTTCAAATGAAAATAGATGTTTAAGGAAGAAAACAAAAATGCTTGCAAATAAAAAAATATTACTCTAAAAACTCTCAACAAAATGGGTATAGAAGGAAAGTACCTTAACATAATAAAAGCCATATATGACAAACCCACAGCCAACATCATACTCAACTGGGAAAACCTGAAAGCCATCCCCCTGAAAACAGGAACAAGACAAGGGTGCCCACTCTCGCTGCTCTTATTCAACACAGTACTGGAGCTTCTGGCCAGAGCAATTAGGCAAGAAAAAGGAATAAAAGGAATACAAATAGGCAATGAAGAAGTGAAACTCTTGCTGTTTGCAGATGACATGATCTTATATACAGAAAAGCCTAAAGAAACCATTGGAACACTATTAGAAATAATCAACAACTACAGCAAAGTATCAGGGTACAAAATCAACTTACAGAAATCAGTTGCATTTCTATATACCAACAATGAACTAACAGAAAGAGAACTCAAGAAGACAATCCTATTTACAATTGCAACAAAAAGAATATAATATCTAGGAATAAATATAACCAAGGAAGTGAAAGACTTATACAATGAAAACTATAAGATGTTACTGAGTGAAATCGATGACATAAAGAAATGGAAAAATATTCCATGCACTTGGATTGGAAGAATAAACATAGTAAAAATGTCCATACTACCTAAAGCAATCTACAGATTCAATGCAATCCCAATCAGATTCCCAAGGACATTCTTCACGGAAATAGAACAAAGAATACTAAAATTCATATGGGGCAACAAAAGACCCCGAATAGCTAAAGCAATCCTGAGAAAAAAGAACAAAGCTGGAGGCATCACAATCCCTGACTTCAAAACATACTACAAAGCTATAGTAATTAAAACAGCATGGTACTGGTACAAAAACAGATACACAGATCAATGGAACAGAATTGAAAGCCCAGAAATAAAACCTCACATCTATGAGCAGCTAATCTTTGACAAAGGAGCTAAGAACATACAATGGAGAAAGGAAAGTCTCTTCAATAAATGGTGCCGAGAAAACTGGATAGCCACTTGCAAAAGAATGAAAGTAGACCATCTTCTTTCACCATACACAAAAATCAACTCAAAATGGATCAAAGACCTGAAGGTGAGACCTGAAACTATAAAACTCCTGGAGGAAAATATAGGTAGTACACTGTTCATCATCAGCCATAAAGGGATCTTTTCGAATTCCATGTCTACTCAGACATGGGAAACAACAGAAAAAATAAACAAGTGGGACTTCATCAGATTTAAGAGCTTCTATAAGGCAAATGAAACCAGGATCACAATGAATAGGCAGCCCACCAGCTGGGAAAAAATATTTGCAACCCATGTATCCAACAAGAGATTAATCTGCATAGTATATAAAGAACTCATGCAACTGAACAACAAGAAAACAAACAACCCAATCAAAAAGTGGGCAGAGGAAATGAACAGATACTTCTCCAAAGAAGATATACAGATGGCCAACAGGCACATGAAAAGATGCTCAACATCACTAATCATCAGGGAATGCAAATCAAAACCACACTAAGATATCATCTTACACCCATCAGAATAGCTATAATCACCAAGACAAAAAGCAACAAATGCTGGAGAGGCTGTGGAGAAATGGGAACCCTAATTCACTGCTGGTGGGAATGCAAACTGGTGCAGCCTCTATGGAAAACAATATGGAGATTCCTCAAAAAATTAAAAATAGAAATACCTTATGATCCAGCTATCCCACTACTGAGGATCTACCCAAGGAACCTGAAATCAACAATCCAAAGAAGTTTATGCACTCCTATGTTCATCGCAGCATTATTCACTACAGCCAAGGCATGGAAGCAACCCAAGTGTCCCTCAACTGATGATTGGATAAAGAAGATGTAGTATATATATACAACGGAATACTACTCAGCCATAAAAAAAAGACAAAATCGTCCCATTTGCAACAACATGGATGGACCTGGAGGGTATTATATTAAGTGAAATAAGCCAGAAAGAGAGACAAACAGTGCATGATTTCACTCATATGTGGTAGATAAACCAACACACGGACAGATAGAACTGTTTGGTGGTTACCAGGGGCTAGGGGGTGGGGGGTGGGCACAAGGAGTGAAGGGATGCACTTATATGGTGACTGACAAACAATAATGTACAACAAAGATTTCACAATTAAAAAGAAAAAAAAGATTACTCATCTCCTCCTGTCCCAAAAACATTCAGCTTATGGCCCAGTAGCTGAACTGAGCCCAACTCTAGCTGAACTGGGCCCAACTCCTTTCATCCAGGCTGAAAAGTTTCTTTGACTCTGGCATTCTAGGATTATTCTGAGTTCCTAGGCTGGCAAAGGGCCATTTTGCAATTTGGTGATTTGAAAAAGATAAGTTGTCATATGCAGTCACATCAAACTATCTCTCCCCGTGGAAAATGCTGAGAAAAACTGAGGTGTCAGTGAAGCATCTCTGGAAGCCCCTAAAATCTGGGTATCAAAGCCAATAACGGCATGGTCTAGAGAAGAACAGTGTACCCTCTTACTTGATTTTCTAGGACCAAACTATGCCATTTTGCTGAACTAAAGTCACAGGTCTTTTAAGGTCTTCAGTGGACTTCTAGGCATATTTTCTTACACATTCTCATTTGAACAATTTTTGAAAGCTGTGGTTTCAAAACTCAACTTAAAGCAAACTGAGAGTGTTATTTCTAACTGGTTACAAAACCCATAGGAACTGTGTCAGAGGGCCTATTTTCCTGAGTATCCTGCCAGTTTCCAGAGAGCAGAAGCTAGAAGTCTTTCTAGGTAAATACATTCATTCCCTTCTAAGTCTCCAGAGCTGCTCTGCCACCACCCTGCCTGCTGCGGATGAAAATGGACTGGACTGCATCAACCGCAGGGTCTGAAACCATCAGGGCTCAAATTTCCCAAATAAAGAATGCTAAGTGCTGTTATAAATAGCCTTCTGCCCCTGAGTCAATGGCACTTGTGATCACATATCAGGGGGCTGCCCCAGCAGCTGGTCAGCAGCCTACCCAGCTACACAACTCACAAGCTAGAAGGGTCAAGTCTATAGTGGTCCCCACTGGTGCTTACGATGCCCTTTGGCATCTGCCACAGAAATTCCAAGAGAGATCCAAAAGTTAGGAGACCAATATAAGCTTTAAATTAAGAAAGAAAAGTAGGTGAGCCAAGGGTGTTTAGTGAACTTTTTATGTTTGCATTTTTTTCCTGGGCAAACAGTAAGACACTAAAAATATAGCTCC